CCTGCGCAGTTATTCCTGCTTTGGGATCCTAATGCTGCAGTTTATTAAAGCTGAAATCATAAGAGTGCAGGGACATGGATGGCCTAAATACATCTGCTTTAGTGCAGTCGCTGCAGTCTGACGTCAAATGAAACTCAGCCGCAGGAGCTTCAGCAGGAGCAGGGCTGGATGAGATGAACACAAGCTATCATGGGATGAATCCTTTTATATCACCATAACAGTATTCATCATAATATAGTTTGCTTTTAGCTGGAAATTCAATGAAAAATTGCTTATATTTTGATAATCATGCACTATACACACACACCATATATACATATACCTAAAAATAATGTTCTATTATTATATAAATAAAAATTCTTAACTTAGTATTATTTTACACATTTTTCAAATAAAAAAATTATAATTAGTAATTATATTTTGTTATATATTTTTAACAAATGTAATAAAATAATTAATTGTATGCATGTATGTTTTGCAAATGTTTATCTTTTACTACACAATGTTATTTTTAACATTATTTAACAAATAAAGAATTAATAAATAAATAAAATATAGTATATATAATGTTTTGCAAATGTTTTACTAAACGCATGTAATTTTATTATTATTTTACAAATAAATAAATAAATAAATAATGTGGTATATACATAATGTTTTGCAAATGTTTAACTACACATTGTTCATTTTAGTATTATTTTACAAATAAATTAAAAAAATTATAAGAAAGAAAGAAAGTATATACATTATGTTTTCCGAATCTTTATCTTTAACTACACATTGTCATATGAACAGTTAATAACAACCGTTTTTTTAATATTCACAAAAATGCTAGTACATTCACTAGTAGTTCAGAAATGATTCAGGTGTTGATTCAATAACAGCTGTAACTGATTCAGCTCAAAGATTCAGGATTCAAATCAGATCTTTTTGAATGATTCATAAAAAGAATCGGTTCATAAGAATCAGGCTGTTGTGTTTGATTCACTCATTAATCGTACTACACCGGTCTCACAGACACACAAAGAAATGCAAACACTGCAGTACAATCTCTACCGGTCGACACACTTCTACATTACCACCGTCCACATCAGCCGTGAGTGTGACCAACATGATGGTCAGAGTTAATGCGGTTCGGTTCTTATCAGAAACCCGTAGGCAAACAGCAGCTCTTTCGTCCCACACACACACACACACACACACTCACACACTCACACACTCACACACTCACACACTCACACACACTCATTCACCCGCAGAGGAGCGATTATTAAGAGCAGCAAGTGTAAATCACAGCAAATATGGCTGGAGGTTTGTGGGAGTGTGAGGTGAGTCATATTAACACTGATGCAGCAGCCTGCTAAAAACAGACTGCAGAGACGGAGGAAAACACACACTGTGACGCCGTGCATCAGAGCCACGTCACTCAGCCGGTCACGCGTCGCAGGGCCCCCATCCCGCTGGCTCTCAGGAGACACGGAGCCCAGGGGAACCGGCATCACGCGGCCCCAATTACATACGGGTTTGATAGACAGAAGCTGAACCTGACATCAGCCAATCGAATGATCTGACATCACTTCGGAGTGCAACAGCCCCACCCACTATTTCCCATTAATTTTCCCATATAGGGATTATAAAACGGTTATATACACACGTATATATATATATATATATATATATATATATATACACACACAAATATACAATGTTTATATTTAATTACTCATTATTTTAATATTATTTTTCAATAAATAAATAAGTACATGCATGCATACATAAATGTTTTGCAAATGTTTATCTTTGGCTACACATTTTAGTACCAATTTTCCCATTCATTTTTCCAATAGGGTTTTTAAAAATGTCTTTGTTTAAGAGTTACAAACCATGAACCAAAGCAAAGCAAACTTCAAAAATCATTTTTAAAGTGTATTGATTTAAAGATGTTTATAGAAACAATGTATTGTATTTTTTTATTGCAAAATACGCTTGATCTATGGCGCATTCATTTTGATTCTTTACATGTGTAATGATGTCCAGTGACTTGTTTGCATTATTTATGCATTATTTTATTTATTTGTAAGACTTTTTTATGACTAAATTTGGTAATGGGAGAGTAAAAATATTTTTAAAACGTACACCGTTCAAACTAGGCTGCTTATGTTGAAGTGTTTGGGATGTGGCTTTTAATGATGAGACCTTTTTTGTAATCAGGCTCTCAAAAAGTATATAACAATTTGGATATAGATTTATCGGCCAACATATCGGTTATCGGCTTTCAAAAATAAAGAATAATCGGTTATCAGTATCGGCCAAAATTTTCATATCGGTGCATCCCTATAAAATATGCATATGCAGACTGACGCAGTGCTTTATTCTATTCTCGGACTGGTGGAGATTTCTTTGTAGAATCATGAGTAATGTAGTTTTTCACGAAGAATTCTGCTGTCAAACATGATTATTTATGTGAGCTGATGGCTTCATAAAAAGCATATTACAGTAATTAACAACCCTGTAGCTCACAGTATGTCTGTCTTTAATGGTTTATTGTTCAAAGTCAATTCCCCTATGGAGAAAAGGAATGGGATTTTTACTTCCGGACCTGACTGTTGCACTCTAATACTTTACAAACACACTGAAGGAAGATGAAAAAGAGGAGCAAGAAAAAGCTTCAGCTCACTACTGACAAGAAAAGATCCCAGAGCGACAACAAAAGACACGAGAGGAGCTCAGGGCTCCATCTGAACAGCTGCTCCTCCTCTTAAACACCACACACTGACCCTCACACGCACGCACGCACACACACACACACACACACACACGCACACAC